AGCCATCTGAAAATAAACCGCGTTTAATTGACTGGATAAGCAGATCACATACGTTAAAGCAAGGAATGCCCCTTCAACTGTAACTTTGAACTGTAACTCGCACACCCTTTGGCAACGCATTTACACAGAAACGTGTACATCCCTTGGCTATAACAGTAATTTTGGCAGCAACAGTAACATGTACACCCTTTGGCAAAGCTCTTGCACAGAGGAGGAGGAAAATTTTTTTTGAAAAGTGGAGCGTTTCCCAAGTTAAACCCGGGCTGTACAACACCCTCACTTTATTATTGCGAGAATATCTTTGAAAATATCTTTCATCCCACTACAGGGAAAAAGTACTGTGCACCATGCACACCATCAGCAAAGAGAAAAAGAGACAGTTTAGGATTCTTTTGGTTTGCAAACCAAATTATTTTCTTGGATATGCCAGTGGGGATCTATAACAAGACCACTGAATTAATAGGAATTACTAAATGCTTTCACATCATCACGTAGATCAGAACTGGACCGTTAGATCATATTTATACACATGAAATTTCGTTCTAAAAGGAAGCATTTATTTAACTAACCTACAGAAATTCTTTGCCTGACTCCTCTTTTATCTAAGCAAATTAAAATAATACCAAGAAAGCTTCCATGCAGCAAGTAAGCAGACACTAAAGTAAAATCCTCAGCAGCACAAGAAGTTCTATGCATGCTGTTGTGAGCATAAATAATATTCACTACACACCTTTTGAAAGAAGAGCCACTAAACCTGTGACGAGCAATGCTAAAGTCTGTGGGAAATTTGTGTGTGTGTGAGTGTGTGTATGTATGTACATGGGTGTAAACAGTAGTTCATTAAAAGATGTGTACATTGTAGTGATGAGCCAGCCAATGAAATGAGCCAAAGGGCAGACTTTGACTTGGCTCAGCAGTCATGAATGAAGATGAGCCAAAGAGGAGCAAAGGACATTGCAAACAATTTGGCACAGGTTCCTGGCAGTCAGTGATCACTTCAGGTATTTTTCTTTCAAGGTGTGTACAGGCACATCCAGTGACTCACCTGTATTTATATCCAGAGAGCCAAGACGGACCCATATCTTGGCCCCTGCACCAAGTCCCATATTTATAGCCTATCTTGTTCCAGTAAATAGAAAGCAAGAAGGGGAGCTGCCTGTTAAACTGTCATCTTGCAAAAGTGGTTTTTTTTCACCTGATTGAAAGTCTACAGAATTGGATCTGACTGATGCAGAATAACTCTGCCTCTTTGAGGTGGAGAGAGAGTCACCAGCCAGTGGGATGAGGAACTTGTCCAGCTGTTCCTACAACATCCTTGCTCCATAAAACCTGCAACTTCCCTCTTCACTCATTGTCACAGCTTTATCAGCCAGGGAAGTATATTTCTATCACTGGTCATCCGCAGTGAGAGCTTAGAGACCTCAATGAACTGTCAGTCTGTTTTTGCTGCATATAGCCATGAATTTAAGGCTTACTGTTTCCCTTGTGTCTGCTTGCCCACTGAAGTTACTGGGATTTCAGTATATTTGATATACTCTGTTCTACATATTCCATTCCCCATCAGAACTTCTCTGTCATTCCCCTTCAAACTCCCTTTCAATGTAAACCTACAGACCTTCAACTGATATAAATAAAATTACTTACTCTCTGCCTAAAGTCACTTTGCCACCTGGAATAACAACGTGGTCAAGGAGAGATGTGGTGAGCCATTATTTTTAATTTCTGCTTTATTTTGAGACATATTTGACTGTCATTTTCCCTTGTCATTGCTAAAGGAGAACAGAGGTGGCTGAACATGATGATAAGCAGAATTGTAAAAGCCTAAGTAAAGGTATAGATTTGCAATATGCCTTACTCAGCATGTGGTAAAAAAGAACATTTTTAAGTGTTGCAGTGGCAAAAGTTAGGCTGCATTGCAGGTCCTGAACTCAGGATACCTTTGTGTTCTCTTTGGGGCATCCTGGAAGCCCTTCAGTTCCACATGTTGCATTAAAATGAGTATATCTATCTGAATAACCCACACAATCCAAACCTACAGGATTTTTAAAATAATTTTGGAAAATAAAGGTGAAATAACAAATAGATTCATGGAGCAAACCAAGTTTAACATGAACCAAAGAACGCTTTTCTCACTGAAATTAAAGAAAATCAAAAGAAACAAAGCCACCTGATAGTTCCTGTGGTCTAGGTACCATTCCTCCTAAAACCCTCAAAAATGGAACTCAAGAATTTTCTTCATGAAATATGACAAAATCGGGTGCTTTGGAAAGAAATATGTTGTTACCAGTCTGGATGTCTGTTGGTGCTTCACTTATTCAGACTTCAATTCCATTGTCCATACAAAGACCACCCAGCTGGGCAGAAGCTACAAAAAAATAGTCAACTTAGATGAGTGAGTCACGTACTGGGAAAAAAAAGATATATTAAGCTCAGAAATGGATCTACTGGAAGACCAAATGTTCCTTCTCATGTTGTCTTTTGTAGTCCTGTCCTGGACCATGTGACTACCTGACCTGCAGCCTTTGTGCAGTGGACAACAGGTACCTCCATGTACAGAAGACTATAAACAACATACACAAAACCAAGGACTCACCACCAGAAGCAGATTATGCCTTAGACTCAGCTTGAAAACAGTGCCTTGACTAATGGTGCTTGCAAAGAGTTTGAATGAGGATAATGAGGTAGTTTGCAACACATGTTTACAGGTGCTTCCTCTGTAGCTTGAAAAGCAACTTGAGATAAAATACAAGGATGTCTGCTTGAAAAGGAGACAAATTGGCTTATTAACTTTTCTTTCCTGGCAGTGTTAGCAGGCTGAATATGTTTCAAAAAAAGCAAAAGGGGTTTTTTGTTTTACATCTAAAAATGGAGTAATGAAAACTGTGATACTACATCTACATAGGGAAACATTATGAATATTTATTTCTGTTTTATTTTAACTGGATATTCCCTGAAGATAAAAACATTTTCATTTATGATGAAAATCCAATTATTCAAAGTCATTTGTCTATTCTCCTTCACTTTCTCTGCACTTTTGCCCATAAAACTCAGGCTTTGAGAAGTTAATTACTAGCAGAAAAGTAAAAACTTCTGAAACTTTCCACTTTAGTAGAAAGTTATTTTTCATTAAATAAGTTACATGCAGATTGTCCCACTGGTGGAGATGTACGCCACTTAGCCATACACCACAAAGCTCTCATGGTCATGGAATGAAATGGACATTTTCAGAGATACCAGCTCTATTTACAAAGCTGAGATGGACCACGTTGTGCAAGAACATGTTTCTAACAGTGCATCTGTTTAGCTCAGAGACATGTGCCTACAGTGTTTGCATAGAAGACTTTAACTTAATGCTTTCTGAAAAAATAATTCAGCATCAAAAATTGAGTTTAAAATCTACCTTTGATTTGAAAGCAGCTTTGATACAAAATTTTAATAGGCTTAAAAAAAAGATTGTCTTCGCAGAAGGAAATTGTGCCTTTGAATACCCAAACATGATACTGAGTCTACTCTGCATAAAATATTTACCTTTACGATCAGCTGAGAAGTTTTCATCTACCTGGGTATCAGACTGAACCTGGTTTTCATCAGCTTTGCTGAGAATTAAGTCCACCACAGATTCTCGATTAACATATTAATTGCACATCATTTCTAAAAAAATACATGGATTTTTCCTAATTCTTACACATAGTCTGACAGTAAAACTGAGGGCTTAGAAAATGGCATCTGAGTGGCTGAGAGAAGACATAGTCAAGAAGATCTGTGCCACATCTTCCTTGAATATGTGTTTTCTTTGTTTACTTAAATAGAATTGCTTATAGAAAAAAACAATTAATGGCCATAAACACAACACACCTGAAGTAATGTATTTTGGGTCAAAACTTAAAAAATTCAAACTCTCAGATAATGCCAGGACAAAGTTCCTTTCACAGTTTTACAACTCCCCTATGAATATTCCTGTGTCTAAGTGATTCTTATTCCTCTCAGAAAAGATGGGTCAGTATTTTCTCTGAAACCTTACAGCTTTGTGTACAAAATCAGTCATTACTGTGAATAGAAATCTACCACAACACCTAAGAACCAGGCACTTATCTTAAAGTCTGTTCTGAGGATGACTGAATATTCTATTTACAAACTAGTTTCATTTGATAATGACTACTTAGAGCTTGATCTCATATCTTTTGCCAGTTCAATGACAGTAGCATAGCTATTGCTGAACACTGCAATGCCAAAATCCCGTCTTTAGTAAAGGCTTAAGTCCTCACCTGTGGAAAAACACGATGGGCAGACAAAAAGTTCAGACAGGTTTTGAAAGAGAAGTAATATAATTTCTTTCTATGAATGAAATTACCCTAAAAATAATATCACACTTACAGGGCTCATTAAAAGATGAGATGTACTTGCTTCTCATTCTTGAAATGTATGTCATGTCTAAAAAAACCTCCTGAATACCCACAAATACTGGAAGACAGAAATCACCTCTGAATTCAACAGCATTAAGAGATGTTGTTTCAGTTCAATGCAATGTAAAGTAGTTTTTTTCACCCATTATCATAATATTTAAATAAGTGCTACTGCTGCTATAAATCTATCTTAATCATGAAATCAAAGTTCCCTTTCCATATACAAGAGATCTTGAAAACTGGCTGAAAGTCTTCCAGATTGTTCCCAAAGTACATAATCCTTGTAGAGGTTATTCTCAGAGCATACTAGTGACTTCAAAACCCAAATATACTCTCTAAATCTCAGTGCACCAGACAGAAAAATATCCATCCAAGGCTCCCTCACAGACCTGAGATTGCCCTGTGTAAGTCACAGGTAGGTGTTATATTCCCTAGTGCACCATCTGTCAAGTGACAGACATTGGCAGAGATTGTTCTTTATTCAGCTTTTTTTCTCCTCTCACGAAGCTAGTTTTAATTTTTTTCCTCAGTATTTATAGGAGTCAAACAAGCTGCTGAGGATTTATGCTTTGTTTTTTAATGTTAGAGCTTTCTCACCTTTTCACTTCAGTCTCAGTCACTCATGGTGGCCACATGTTGCCAGGTTGGAGATGATGCATCTGATGGATCTGATGAAGTGCAGTACCTCTGAAATAAAATAAGTGAAGAAATACCAGTTAAATAGACCACAAGGGCACAGCACCACGTCAAACCTTGTAAGATCTGACTGTAGACAAAGTGTGCAGGTTGAAGGTCTTTCAGTGATTGAAATGAGCAAGACAACATTTCAGGATTTGCCATCCTTGCAGACTGGGCTCTTAGTATTGCATTAAAACATCACCATGTGCAGAAGCATAAAGTGGCATCTGTTTTGTTATGGCTCAATATTTATGATGAAAAAGCCCCTGGTGACAGTGCAGAACTTTCAGTATAGTGCAAAATTTCTTCTGCCTGAAAAGTCTGATTTAAGAAGGCTGCCTGAAACACTCAGTCTGTATTAGGTACCTGCAGGGGGTTGTATTTGTCCAGATTCATATGGCCAAAATTAGGTAAGACTTTGTCCCTCACCACTAACTGATCAGACACTAACAGACTGGATCTCATCACTGTGTGTGCAAGCAAATGAAGATACAATTAACTGTAGCTTAATTAGCACCCATCTTATATTTTAAGACTAAGACCTTATATCTTGTGGGGGTTTGGCTCATGGTACACAGTCATAAAAACATGTTGACCAGCAGCGTACTTATAGAAATATTTAGCATGTATGTGCAAAAAGACTATGCCAAAAAGTTGGTTCTGCCAAACATTTGTAGACTGTTGTGACGACCCACCGAATAAAGAAACCTTGAGGGTCATCACAAGTGTCACTGATACTGGAAGGAGGCATCTCAGAACCAGCACCACTGTAGCACGTGGGGAAGACCACCTGGTCCCAAGGACATGAAGTGGGCTAAAAATAAAAGCACACACTTGAGTTCTTTTGTATTTAGGGATGCTTTTTTTCAGACTGACCGTTTGAAAAAGAAGACAAGATCACTATGAAAGTGAGAAACATAGAATTTTTGATAAGGAAATGTACTCATCAGAAATATAATCAGTACATTCTTCTGACTAATATGACTCAGATGTAGGCCCTTTGATGATATTTGTTACAATACAAAAGGTACTTCTTTATGTGACACCGGATATTGCAGGGCTTGATTGCTGTGACTGAGGGCTTTAGGCGTTATATAATGAAAGACTTACGATTTAAAAAAATCCCCCAAACTATAAACAGAGTATCCGGGCTCCCATTTGCCTTTGAAGGTGATGAAATTGTTTTGCTTACATAAGCCACTAGGAGTAGCTCCCCTGTCAGACTCTGTCTGTGCTCATATTCACCTGTGTCTACCTGGTCTCCTTTTCACATTCACCTGTGTTTGTAAGGGCTCTCTTTGCATTGTGCCCTTACCTCCTCCAGCAACAGTAGTACACTTAGGAGCACTGTTCTGTCTCCAGAGCCTGACCAACCTTTCCATGAGAGCTGATGGGCTTACAGTCATTTCTTTGTGACTTCAGGGGCCAAGTTTGTACAGTTCTCATGGCACTCATGAATTGGTCTTTTAGTCTTCCCAAATAAAAATAGGAAAAAAGTCTTTTTTCTTCAGGGCCAGGAAGAAGTCTAGCAGCAGAACTGGTCCTTCATTTCCTTCCCTCACCCCTTCAGGTCAATATAAAAGACAAAAAATTGCAGATTTTCCAGTGTCTTTTTTACCCATAGACTCTTCTTTCTTCTCTCTCAATCTTTTTCTTTTACTATGTGTCCTTTTCTAGTAATTAATTTATGATTCAAAGGGAAAGCCTTGTGGCTTATATGCCTATGGATGATTTCAGTCCTGATCAGTCAGGTAATTTTAGTAGAGTTGGGAAGTCGCTTAAGTTGGGAAGTTGGGAAGAGGCTGACTTCTTTAGGAGAGCTACAAAGCTGAATCTCTCAAATAAAAGTGAATCTTGTGAGCCGTGGAGCCCCCATTTGGATCTGAATTCCCACACTGTCTGTGAGGTTTTGGGTCCCATGGATCTGGCCATGTCTGAAATGAAACATTGGTATTTGCCACCCTTGTCTCCATTCAGGCTATTTTCTTGAATCTCTGTTTTTAAAGTTACACAAAATAATCAGCAGATTGGCAGCTACCAAAGAGAGTGATGATGCACCAACCTTACTAGTTAGGCTGACTCCCATTATATATACTCATGACTGTCCTGCTTTGGATGTCTCTTTGGTCATGCAGTTAGAAAAATGAGTTCAGTTCTGGGCATATAACACTGACTGGAGGAAAGGAGAGGAGCAGGAGAATGTTTCATGGGAAATAACACATATGATTAAGCACTGGAATGATTGATTTATGATAAAAGATTAAAAGAACAGAATATGTATAGCTAAAGGGAGACATGCTGAGCACCTATGAGTAAGTCAATGCTGTAAGCACCAGAAAACAGAGGAGTAGGTTGCAGGGGCCTAAGAAGTAATATGAAGTAAAATCTGGAGCAAAGGATATGATGGTGTCTTCCAGGAAAAATTCAAGAGGGCAATTCTGGGGTAATGACATCTAGGTGAGACTGCAAAACCACTGTTGCAGCATGTTTTGAGACAGTGACAGTCTTTGGTGCGGACTTACTTGAAAGCTTGACCAAAAAGGCCTACCAGTTATGAAGAAAGGAAATAGAAAACATCTTCCCTGTGACACCAAAACAACTGCAAATTTGCAACTGTGAAAAAGCTGGAGTTGAAAGATGCCATCGGGTTAATCTCATCTCTATTACTCTTGTAGAAATTGTCATAATTACCTTTTTAAAAAAACTCCTTCTTGGGGAGACCTGAGGAAAAGCAGGGCTTACAAGTCTCAAATTTAGAGTGTTTGAAATTAGTTTTTGGCTAAGAGAGGTGTGAAGCTTTCTTCTGAAAAGAAATTCCTCCCATTTACCATCTTGTTAGCATTTGAAAATCCAAGCAGAGAGTCTGTCTAAAATGTTTTTTTGCTGTTCAACATGTAATATATTCATCTGAGAGAGGCTGAAGAGCTGGTACATGCAATGAGCTGCTCACCTGCTGAGCTCCAGAGGGCCTCCTCTTTTCTTTTACTTAAAAAAAAATAAATCCAGGAAATGAATAACTCTGTAAACAGACTTCAGTGTTACATACTTTCATATGCCAAAAGGTACTAGAGTCAGAATTAAGGTTAAAAATGGACTTCCCTGTGCCCAGGAGTGAATAGCTAAAAAGGGCACATGTATTATAAAATACGATAACATATTGTCTCTGAACTAATATTATTTTTGTATCTTTAGGTACACAGGAATAGTAACTTGTGGTTGTTCTTACTGTTTCCCAGATTAAGGGTAAACAGAACCAGAGAATGTCTTTTGTACAATAGTTACCTAGTAAAACTCTACTTCAACTACAAACTACAGGTGACGTATGTAACACAGTAGTGAGTGAAACATTTCTGGGAAAACTATTTACCCAAGTTGCACAGAGAGAAGAGAACTTATCATGTAAAAACATCTTGCTTTGATATGCTAGAATATACAAATATGGGAGGAGGTAAGGTGGGGTTAGCAAGTGATACAGAAGTTAATCAATGGTTTAAAAAAAAAAAAAAGAAAAAAAAGACAACAGCACAATGGAAAAATAGATTGAGTGCCATGCATGAAGGAGGCAAAGCTCGGCTTGTCTATTGCTTAACCTTAATGTTCTTTTACGGTAATTTTTATATTTCGTAATAACGGAGGAGATAAAGCAGCACCTACAAAGACAGGTGAAAGCACTGCACTTCTCTGCTTACACTCTGAGCTGGCTGGACATGAGCTGGCACCAAGAGCCATATAAAGGTGTGGGCAACAGGACATCAGTTGAACCAGGAGTGTCAAATTCTGGCCAAGGGGGCATGGGAATGTTATGCAGAGCCATGATGCACCTCACCTATTGTTTTGTCTTTCTCTGAAGTGGCTCTATAAAGCTATGGAATGCTACTAGGCATGAGCATGTCCTATGCAGAGCTTTGTGCCTCCAGCCCTCCGTTTCCTCAGTTGTAACGTTGCCCCTGTTGCACCAGCACCTTGTGAGGATTTTGTGTCATGTATTTTGGAACCTGTCAGAAGCCAGAGTGGAGGAAACCTTTCCCAGAACTGTATGATACCTTTACCTAAACGTTATAATACATATTGCTGCTGAGGAACAGCATTACAACAACATCTATTTTTGGTTGGAATGAAAGCCGGCAGGAAAAATTGAGAAACTTATTTAAAAAAATGCTCAGGATACTGGATAAGACGTTCTTCATTCTCATTTTCACTATAAAAACAGAAATCCTATTCTCTAAGAAATTAATTCGGAATGACACCACATGCTGGCAGGAAAACTTATCAGCCTCCCTTCCCACTCTGCACTGGCAGTGGAACTGGCACATCTGTTGGTGTTTTGGTAGAAACATTTGTCATCCCAGTTATTTGGACAATATAAATGTGTGTTAGCTATGATTTTGGTTTGTTTCTAACAAACAAGTGTACAATTTGGGGTCTACCATCAGTATGGAGGATTATGTCAAAGAAAGAAAAGAAAAAACCACACGATTCTCCTCTCTAACAAGATCACGGTCACAGGGAGGAAAGTGAAGAGGCTCAGCGAGTGCGAAAGCCTGCAGTGATGAGACATAGATGTGTTTAACTCAAGGACTACTATCTTTTCCCAACAGTTAAAGACAGACTTTATGTGTCAAGAGGACAATACTGGAAAATGCATGATAGGACACATAGGATATGGACAGCTGCCAGGCCTCTGAACAGCTGTGTGGTGTATAAGAATTACTGCAGCTGTATTTAAACTAGAAATTATATCTCTCCTTTTTTTTTCTTTTTTTTTTTTATTTAATGTGTTCAGGCTTTTCACTTACCCAAAAGGAAGCATTAGCAATTACAAAATGTTTATTTCCCCACAAGACATGCTGTTTTGTTTCTGCTGCCTGTGATCTCTGATGTTCAGGAGACATCACTGCTCATCCTTAGCACTGTGTGTGTAGAGCAGGGGAGATGTCTGCTTAACCTGCTCTGTCGAGTGGGAGCAAGGCATTCAAACCCAGCTTTGCACCACTTTAGGAACAACTTGAAAAGGAATAAGGAATCAGTTCTCTCCTGATGTTTTGGAAACACTGGGAAAGAATCTGATACCAGTGTGTGTTCAGGATCCTTATGAGGCCAAGAACTTCAAGGCAGGTTCCCGCAGTGTGACTGATCTGATAAGCCTGGTGGGTGTGCAGGAGGTGGAGCGGTTCTTCCCCAGATTTGGAGGTACTTCACGCACGTTTGTGGAAAGTTTGCTCATAAGAAATGAACTTATCACAGCAGAGCTGGGGCAGATGTACTTTTGCCTGTTCTCCAGACTCACATGTTCCTTTATAATTTTTGTTAAAAAAAAAATAAATTAAGAAACAAATGAAGTCAACAGGGGATACCTCATCCTGAACTTTCTCTCCCTGTCTGTCATTCTGAATAAGTAGAACAGAAAGCTGGGAAACATGTATGTGAGCTGTTTCTAGAGAAGAAGAAAGAAAAACCATATGAATTACACAAATTATCGGCAATTTTAAGTTCCATAAAGGACACTTTGCCTTGTTGTGGCATGCTTGGCTGTTCACTAAGGCCAGCCCATGAATGGGGTATTAGATGTCCTCCACAGTGTGGACACAGAGCTGCTGGTTTCCACGCAAGCTGTCAGCTTTATTACTGCTAGAGCTAAACAAGATAGTAGTAGGTACCTGTGGTTTTGGAATGAAAATTCTTGGGTTCTCCCTGCAAAGCCACATCTACAGTGTGTGGTTTGGCTGGCAACTGTGGGTTCTGATTTGTATGCAACCCTGTGGACACCTCTAATTTAATGTTTGTATGAAAGGCTAACTCTGTGGCCACTTTTAATTAAAGGAGATTTCCGGTAAAGTTAGTCAACAACTTTTGTTGCTGAAGGGAGAGTACAGAGCCACGCTAAAGAATTTTTGAACAACTGTTGTAAAAATAAAAGGTATGAAATTTGGTGCTTTATTGTAAAAATTAAATGCTGAAATTTTCCGTTGATATGAATTTTCAAATTTTCTTTTTCTGTTCTTCATTTCTCTCTGTTATTAGGGTTAGATCCACTGGAAAGCAGAGGAAGGGGTTAGAGACATACCAGCCCCAGGCTTGCAAGGCAGCACTGTCATTTTCTGGTGTCCCTTTGAATCCAAATAAAAATTTGGTGTCATAACATCCAAGGAGAGGAGATACCAAGTTCACTACCTGCTTGTTTTGAACACAGATCTTACTACATTCCAGGAGGGATGTTCTACTTTGTACTGGCGCATTTTCCTGCTTGAACTCCTAAACACTTCTTTTTGATGAGGGCTGGTCAACAGACAACTGAACCTAATTTGTCACCAACGATGACATATCAAACATAGAGTCTGATACTCTTTATTATGATATAGTAGCACTCCATCTGTTCTGCAGAAGGGTGAATGGTCTCATATCAGGAAAATAAATAGAAGATAAAGTATGTCTTTGGGTTCACAATTAACCATCTAAAAGTTTTTACAGTCTAAATAAAAAAAAAAACTCTCACTAGAGTCAGCTATGAAAAAGAGTAGAGATAAAAATTTACTCTGGAATGGAAATTGGTTTTCTAGATTAGAAGTATTGAAAATTTGAATAATGCCTGTGAATAATGCCTAGCGAATCAGAAAGAATGGCAAAAAATCGTGGGTATTTACATGACTAGAAATCTATAAATTACTAAATTTCAATAAATAAAATTATTTTCTTTTGATAATTTCAGGTGATAATTCTGATAATTTCACTTCTTTTTTTCTTCCTAGGGTAATTAGCTGATCTTAAAGATGTGCAAACAAGCTGCCACAAGTGTTTGGCTACTTAGTAATAACTGTGTACCCTCTTACCTATCAGTAAATATAAGATCATTTACTTTCAAGAGGGGGAATTCAGAGGAGGGATAGGCAACCTCAAATTACCACACATTTATAACCATGTACAAGTCTCCCCACAGGCAGTTACCACAGATGAGTTAAATTACTGCAAATTCAGACTCCAGCTTGCATCATATTAACCGCATTATGTGCCTATCTTTACATTTTAAAACAAAACATAATTTCTAGCCAGAAGACATCCAATTCTTATATAGTGATGTTAAACTGAAATGTTTAGACAGCTGGAAACAAACAAAACATCAATTTTTTGTTAACTTAAGAAATTTGGTGACTCCACTCCTTTTCTGCAGAAAGTTTTAGCTTCAATCACTCTTTAATATCCTACTGGCATATTTTTTTCCCAAAAGTAATTCCTTACAATCTCAAGGGGAAATACCTTTTTCCTGTTGAAGTCAATGGAAGAATATAATTTGATTTCCATCAGGAATTCCTGTCAGTTCCGGAGAATGTAGAAGCCATCTATATTTTCTCATTCTTCTTCCTATAAAACTCATACTACAGATTTTAAAGTCTGGGGTTTTTTTTTCCTGTGACTCTAAGGTCTGTGGAATTTAGAAGCATTCAATGAAAATCAGCCTACAAAAAAACCAGCAAAAAATCAGAAATCTGAAGAAAGATGACAATTCAGATAATTCATGAAAAAAGACTGTCAGGACTTGTAGCCCATAATGGGTCTAAGAAGGTGCAGCACTCTCTGTACCAAAGCAATATAAACCTGGACAAAACTCCAGAGTTTGTTGTGTCATTTCTGAACCAGGTGCTGTTGGAAGATCAGCCATATTCGTTTTCTAGTGCTCACCCAGAGACCAAACCTCACAGCTCAGGAGTGTGAGTTCAGTTTGGGCTGCACATTGCCATTTTTACTCTGTAAGCCATGTCATCTACATCTGAATTTTGAATTTCTTCTGAGCTATGACCAAAATTTTGACTGCACATCCATCTCCCTCCCTTGGGGAATTTCTGTGGGACACACTCTGCTGAAAGGGAATAGCTTCACAAGGACAACTAGGGCAGTTCACACCTTGAACTATTAAGAAATGAGCCATAGGTTTTCACAGTCCCTCTCTAAAATGGGTTTTATGTTGCTCACCTGGAACATGTTAGTCTTCACCAGCAGGTATCTTTTATTATCCCCATTCAAAATACTGGATGATCAGGTACTGCTTGGTCGTTGTTGTTGGCCCTATGTTGACTTGATGAAAAGTAAGTCTAAAGTTCATTCTTCACCAAGAATGTCAGATGACGGTGAATTAATTTTATCACCTCAATTAAATGCATTTTTTATCAATATTTTCAAGATTCTGATCTATTTGGGAATTTTCAATTCTAGTGTCCACATGCAATGATTATTTTGGGAGCCATATACAAAGTTCTTTTCTATTACTTATTTTTTTCATTCCCAAGAGAGACAATGTATATTTTTTAAACAGGAGACATTAATCATAGGATCATTCAGGCTGGAGGCAGGAGCTGGAGAGGTCTCTGCTCCAACCCCCTACTCAGAGAAGAGTGAACACATCATTCACAGAGCTGTATCAATTCAGGAACTTATAGTGAAAGTTATAAAATTGAGGAAACTTCAAGGGTTTACGAGCACTCCATATACTCATTGCCTGTCTAATGACATTTTAAAAATAATACAGGCTTGTGAATCATAGATAATCTACCTGTGTACTTGCCAATCCAGTTGTACTTTGATTCACTTTAATAACACCCATTTTTGCTCCAGTTTTTGTATCTTACTATTCACCTGCTGTCTTCCTCACCTACATGGAAAGAATGAAATGAATTAAGTGGAATCAGTTTGTACAATCAGAGCTGAAGCCTCCTGAGCTGAAAAATGACTCACATTTATCTGCTGGCATCTCTCCTCACAAATCTCCTGCAGCAACATCTCTCAAATTCTCTACTAATTGAGCCATTTTCTGAATTCTAGCAGTGAATGGGACTTAGCGAGACAGAGACTATCTACCATATGAAACTTGTCATTAGTGGGAATGCCAGTTTTCCTAGAAGACTTTTGATTAAGAGATATTGAAAGAGAAGTTGGAGAAGTGTAGTTTACTGCAAGCCTGCATTAAGCATTGACCTTCATGCTACTCAGTAGTAAGCCAAGAAGCAAAGATGTTAAAATACGATGAAGAGCTTAAAGACAAGTGACTGTAAGTAAAAATATGTACTGGATTTGGGAAATGCATGAGTATGTTTTTAATAAAAACATTAGTGTCACTGATATTAAGATGTAGACATACACACATGGTCTAGTTCTCTAGACAGCTAAAATGACATGTTCTTCTTCTCCTGCACTATGTATCCAGCTGCATTGTCTTTCCTACTTCATTTTTGTAAATAGCTTAATTCCACAGACCTATTTTTATGGTCTATTAGTATGGAGCAGCAGGTGTTCATCAAAAACTCTCAGTGTCACTAAGAGCACCCACGACATAATAAAAACTTATGAAGGGTCAATTCAGGTATAGCAAGGCTGTTTTTCCCTTGTGGGTAGACAATCCCTCCCTGACAGACTCCAGTAATGCCAAATGGAAGCTTTTCTGCTAGAAGAAAAATTACATTACAGTAAAGAGTGTGAAAATCAAATTGTACTGAAGAAGAATATAAAAATCATTCTGCTGAGTTAAAGAAAATGTCTGTTCTGCCCAGAGATGTGCTTGGTATCATTAGATGGTTGTAGGTGCCAGCAGAAAGCAGATGAGAAGAGCAGTGCCTATTCCTGAGCTGTGTACTTCTGGCTGTGCCAGTCTGCAGGTTAGAGCCTTCCTGAGACAGAGGATTTAGCTGTTTCCTGATGTTTGAAGGCTGATGGCCTTTGTTTTATCTGCTTTATACATTTTGCATACAGAAAATCCTGCAGCAGCGTGTTCCACAGTGTAACAACTTGGTGAGTGAAAAAAACTTCCTTTGTTTTATTTGCTTTGACTGTTCTAATTGCTGATTCTTCTGTGTGTCTGTTAATTTCTGTTTTACCAGTAAAGAGAAATAATCATTCTGATTTACTTTTCCCATGTAAAATTTAAGAAGTTGTATAGACTTTACAATTGGAATCGATGTTCTTAAAGGTCTTATCCAACCTAAATGGTTCTATGATCCTATGAGACTTTTTTTTCTTCTTCTCAGTGTAGGTAGAAAAGATCCTGCTCAAGTTTACTGGCATGAGTTTTCTGGACAAATGTGTTTATACACATTCCAACAAGAACAATTCTTTTCCTTCAATTACACTGTTATGATTTAGAAGAAGGTAACAAATCTGTGGAGATAAAGTCAGAGGAAAAGGTGGCCAGAGTTTACTTAAACTCTCACCAGCTTTCTGTGCTCATCTGATCCATATCTCTGATCATGCTGCAATTTATCCCACAGTAGCTGCAAGGAATATTTTCCACATCACTTGTAATACTGAAGGAAAAAGTCCTGACTCGCTTTTACGCATATTCCACCTTTCTTTTTATGACTGTATGTATATATTCACACAGCTACATACACCCCTAAACTGAAAAAAAGAATCACATATTTTTACTGTGATGTGTTCATTTCACATCCTTGGATCTCAGTTTTGCAATTGAATCTCACAGTGGAGATGGTCTTGTATTCTGCAGGTGGATGGATTTTAAATTGATGTGAACAGGACTGGATCCATGTTTTTATTCTCTCACAAAGACACAATCAGTCTTAGGGGCACGTATTGGATGTACAGCCAAAACTTTCCCTGACCTGTGAAGTCTTCTCAGGTGTTGCCTGATGCTGTTTCCTCATGACCAGAGCCATCCTTTTCCCCACACAAACTCCTGTACAGGTGGAACATTGCCATGCAGTAATACCATGTCATGATACCATGGATACCATGGAGGCACTCAGCTGCAAGGAGGAAAAAGTTGTAGCTCTGAAAAACCTATGGCATTTTTCCAGATAAGCAGTGTTGAGGTTTGCAAGTTTAATGTTTTTGTTCTTTCCAATCTGGTGGAAATGATGGTGTCTCTTTCAGGTTATTGCCTACCTTCACTATTTCTTCCTGCACCAAGGAACATTGTAGTATCTATTTAGAGGTAAAGGAAAAAAACCCTGGGATTAAACCTCGGATGTTTGGAGAAGGTTTCCATTTACATTTGAGGGTTTAGTTTGCATTTTATTATTTGCATCTGTCACTGATGTATATAGATAACTAACAGTGGGGCTAGAAATCCCTTGGTCCTCCAAGCCCACAGCCCTCAGGTCACTGTTTAAGATGTCACTTGTCAACTACACATAAATATTTAGATTGAATAGAGGTGTAGATCTCAGTTACTCAATGCTCTCTACACATCTTCCTAACAGCCAGGCACTTTGGACTTTTTCCCCAGGATCTTCCTCTCTGGAGGATCACAAAAATGGGCCCCACTCACCTCCCACAGGCACCACAGCCTGTGCTGGTGCCTCCAGAACTTGGGATCTGGGTAGAATCCAGGCTGCAGTTGTGTAATAGGCTTGTCTCTGCATGGCAGTGGTAAACTATCTACATCTTGTTGTTTGAGGAACAGCTTGGCATGAATAGAGAGATTTGCTGCTTGGAAATTGGTTTTGCAACAGGAGGCATTTGCTGTTGGTTCACAGCAGAGAGGCAGGGCTTTCTGCTACCCCATGTGTTGTCTAGAAAGCTTGGTACTGCAGATTGAATTTTTGCTGCTGAGGACAATATTTTCTGCTTACATAACAGCCCTCACCCTCATTTCACTTAGGCAAAAACATTATCAGCTGCACTGGTCGTTGAATAGTTTCTCTAGACATCAAAACCAAAACCAACATGAGTTTTGTTATCCAGGCTACATATGTAACATGGTTTTAAAGGCCTTGGAGCATTTAAGAGAGGATAAATGAATTAAAGACTGTATTATTAGCCCACAGTGGACTATACTTGTCAAAATTGGTTGAATATCCAAATTAAGTTGAAGCTAATCCCTACATGAGCCTATAAAAACCTGTTCCCAACAAGTCTTCATAATAAACTCTTTGTGCCACGAAATATGAATTAAATTGTTTTAAAGCAATAATGTTTAGGTAAGTAAAAAGAAGTTTCCTACTGAGAGATATTTTGTGAACAAAATTAAATATTATAAAACCATATTATTAAATTCTGTCAAAAAGGCATTAATCTTGTTACTCTGGCATTGGTACCTTGGTTCTCCATAATTATGGATTAAGACTTCAGACAAAAATATAGTATGGAAGGTGTTTTTCACAGTTCCTGAAAAAGAAAATAAAACTTGAAAGTATAAACCTTTAGACTCTCAATATGTCATTCTATTGTTATTATTAACTTATTATGTGCTGACTTTATGATCGGCATTGTATAAAGCTCAGTATGAATATGGTCCCTGCACAAATGAATTCATAAACTATGGAATCAACCCCAAAATATTTTGGTAGTATAAGATGGTAAAACACGAGGATATCAGTGTGCTGAGGTTATAGAAAAGTCCTTCATTATTTTCAGTAACTTGTGTGAGGCTGATCTACTGCTCTTGATCACATTGTAGGAAAAAAAATAATCACCTTTGAAAGAGAGAGAGGATGTGCGAACGGAAAATTTGTTTATCCCAGAAAAAGGTGCAAGGAAAAGACAGTTTTTGAAGACCAAAACATTGGTCTCGCAATGCGCTAAGGATACACGTACAAGTCTGAGTAATCTCATGTTTACCTGCCCACCAGTCAGGGCCAGGTCTAAAATATTCATGTCCTCTAGTCAGCAAAGATAGATAGCATATTCCACTCTCAGAAATGTTTCCAGCGTAGGTGAATTGTCTTTTGGAAGTGCTTCTCCCTTTCACTATGTAATGAGCTTAGAATTGCCCTTCGGAGACTTTCCTTTCTTAAGGAACAGAAAGTGTATTACACCTAAGGGAAAAGTAGGCAATACAAGCAAAGAGGAGAATGGATGAGGACACAGAAGATGAAGGTCCAGCTGTTCCTGGCTTCCTAGGCAGTAGGCCAGTGAGAGATACAAAGTGGTGGCACCAATCAAAGCTGTTCCAGTGCTGTACTTCAACAGAGAGTTGGGCATTTAATAATCTCAGGGTTACAACCACAGTTTTGATAGTCCACAGTCTCCAATGCACACAAGAACTGCTATAGCACAAAAGAGAATAAATTCCATCATTTCCATCAACTCCAATTTTATGGGAGGGAAGGAGAGTTAAAAAATCATAAGAGATGCTTTAGACAGAACCCAAACTTTTAAGATCTCTGCAGAGGATTTTTTTTTTACCAGGTTGAATTGTATCTCATGATCTTTTTTAATTTCCCCACTATAACTACTAAAAGAATTCTGAAGGTTTAGTACTTTTCCTAATTGGATTATCTCTGAATGAATGCAATAGGTAAATGTGCCTGGTCTAGTATTTGGACATCACAACTCTACCAGTCTTCCTTGCAAGTCATTGTCATTGGATTGCAACCTTGGTATTCAGTCAGCATTTTTTACTATAATTCAGGTCACTTCTTATTCAGATTATTTGTTGGTAATGTGACATGCTTAGGATTTTATTACACTTTACACCTTGAAGCAAATGCAGGCAGCCATTAAGCATGAGGAAATGCTTAATCACATTTATTATGTCTGATATTTACTTTATGTTGATAATTCACTAAGACACAAGAAAAATAAACTCAGAAAATGTGTAATAAACTGGAATTTTCAGTCATTGTAGAAGACTAAGCTTACAGAGTCTGTCACCTCCAACTAACAGTTCTGTAATTAATTCAAAATGGCAGCTTTGTGATGGTGATTAATTAATCTATGTAGAATCAGTTGGTTTAATCAATTTCATAGAGACTATTTGTCCACAGTACACTTTTTAGACATCGGATTGATTGGAACACATGATTTTCACCTCTGTAGATATGGCAAGAATTACATTTTCACCCCACCTGGTCCCCCTTTAACTTTCCAGGTCTTACGTGGGAAGAGATCTTGCACTGCAGCTAATATTGCATCTACTGTTTATGCAACCAGAGAAATACAGAAAGTTGTGTTTGCTCAGATGGGAACACCAACAATTATATAAACTCTGCAGTGTTTCAAAAAATTTTAAAATTTACCTTGATGTTACATCATTAATACTTGACAGTTCTGAAGCCTGTGAAAACTTCTACATGATAACACACAGATGCAGAAATCTGTATAAATATGTAGGTGTCTGAATTTTTAATTTTTCTTTTTCCAAAACCAAGTCCCAGTTACTATTCCCTTCCAAAATTGTTCCACATGAACATATAAACGTTGGGTGAATGCCTACTGTAATTTGAGTAAAAGAAATTATTTCCTTTAAGAACCTTTTTGTGCCTCTTACAAGAACACTCTAGAACAGCAAAGATGCTTCGCTGTTAAGATAAAATATGGGGATGCAAATTCTCAGGACAAAAAATTAGGAATCTATTCCATTTTCACAGGGGTCTTGGACAAGTTTAGTGTATGGTCTTCACTGTAATATAAAGAGCTGTTAGCCTAAGGCCTGGAGTCAACTGTAGGCTTTCCATTGGAAGGTGACTTGTTTTAATGTACTATTTATTACTTCTTCCTGTTGTTTATTCCAAATATGAGGCACCACTCTGCCCATCCTCGTCATTTATATTGCAGAATAATAAACCATTTCTATCCATACGTAATGGGGTGAATTTCAGAGGGGACAAGTGGAAATTAATTTTTGAGTTTCAATGAATCAGTGAAGTTGTTTGACCTTTGATGTCTCTGTAGCAGAGACATAAAAAAACCCGTGCCTCTGGATGTTGAATATAGAGAGAGGACTGGGTGGGTAGTGGTGTAAAATTTATCTACATTGCCCCAGCTTGGGCACACAACTGGATATTGCTCAGATCAAGCCATAGTTCAAGATTTATTTTTATTTCTTGTAAATGCCGCTAAAGGGTGTTTGGCTTTATTCACATTTGTTTAGGTTTCCTTTCTTGGGGAAAAAAACGGTATTGAAAAAATTGAAAGAAACGGTCTTTTCTGTAGATCTTTGTCACCTCACATTTTAGCAGTCATTCACAGTGCTTAAACTTCTATCAGCGTCTCAATAGGAAAAAGGGACTTGACTCTGCCCTTTTTCTACAGTCCTATGTTTTTGACAAAATTAGTTCAGTGGAAACAGCTGAATGTGACAGCATCTTAAAAAGAAAAAACTTACAATGGATCCAAAAGTCAGTAAGTGATGAAAGCCAAGATTCCTGAAATGGCATGTATGACTCTTTCAATGTCTTCAAGAGAATAATGTATTTGGGCTATGGTCAAAACAGTCGCCCGGCTACAGTTTGAGCCTTCTTCTAAAATAACTCTGAGTGCCAAGTACCTGACAGTGAGATCTGGGTGGGGAAGATAGAAGAGTAAAAAAAAATCACTTCAAATATTAAAATCTTTCTCTCAGGACATTTCTTTTAAATTTGAGCCACTGGGCATCAAGCCAGTATAAAGCATGTTTGGTTCACTACCACCTTCTTTAAAAATGCTCCAGTATTTAGCAGATGGAAACTAAGTGTCTGTGGTACTTTGCAATTATCTCCCTGCTCCATTAAGGCATTCACTTATACAGACAGCAGAACTCAGAGAGGGCAGGTATGAGGCAGGTTATATACATGTATGTTTTTAGAAGATTAACCTTTGAAAACAGCGGTTTAAAAAGTTATGTCAGGTAGAATATGTATTACTTATGGCTAGAATTCAGGAAAATAAGTATTGTCTAAATGCTTAGAAAGAATTATCAGATATATTTCTGTTTGCATGAGTCCTTTTTAATTTTGCATTGAAAATTTGAGAA